AAAGATTCTTTTGGAAGGTACATATTCGTTGAGCTTTGTCCCAATGTTTTTGAGACAGGTTTTTAACCAAAGACAATGTTTCCCAATGGCCAGATGCCATTGTCAATTTTGCTGAGAATTTGACACTTGATTGTCCATTTACTGAATGTGCATGGCTGTCAAGATTTGTTTCCAAGGGTTTAAGGCTTTATGGACCTTGATTTTGAGAGCACATTGCCATTGACTTCATAAGATTCTTTAGGCTCATGAGGGTGTTGTCTTTTGAGTACTTCAGCGCATATTTCCTCAATTTTCCATACTAATTTGGCAGAGGTAATTGTGGAGACAGGTGATGGTATCTCTAAAGATAGAGCTGTTACCCATTGCTCATCTATCATGTTGGTTACTTCTTTGGGTCTCCTTTTTTGTAGGGAATGGGAACACCACATGGTCTAGGCAGAGGGGATGCTCCCCCAGACTTACAGTTATTGGTAAGTTTGTTATGGAATTGGGCCAATCAAACAACAAAATAAATAAAACTGAAGTAATTTAAATGGCCATTGTTAAAGTTTAATAAGTAATTGGGTAATCAAATCAGTTAGATAAAAGCATTATATAAAACTTTTACCCTATAGTAAAAAGTGTAAGTGAATGAATATTAATTTATAATTGGACGTTATTCAAAGCTTTCTTTAACACTTGCTTTTCCATCTTGATGTGGTGTTAACATTGCATTTATTTATTGTAATCTTACAGACTTGGATTGATAGACCAATCAAATTGTAAAGAATATAGCAAATGGATAAAATTGACATTCTACCCCCTATTAAATAATCAGCGAGTTATAAATCTTTTTTTAGTACTAGATGGTCCCAACCCAAGGGGAGCGAGTTATAAATCTTCAAACAGAGAAATTCAAAAAAAACAGAATCTAATTAAAGTTGATTCATTTCATTTTTCTGCTGATTGTTCAAAGTATTGGAAATAAGATACTTAAATTTAGATTATATGCAATGATATGGCCATTGTAGTCCTATTGCCGTGACATAATTGGATCTTAAAAACTCTTATTTATTTTAAAGGAAATTTATTCTGTCAATTTAGAGTTCTCAGATAATCAGTGCACAGAATTTTAGCAAAATTTGGTATTTGTTATTAATTTTCAATATGAAATCAACGTATTGCACCACGAAGATGATCAAAAAGCTGTGGACCAACCAGATGTGTGTGACCCTGCTAATAACCCTAATGCTAAGTTTGGAAAATAACAAAACAGCAAATTAGAGCTCATAGTCACAACTAAAATTTAAAATGAAATCATTGGACCAATCAAATCAACCAATTCCTTACCAAACCACTTTGCCAAAACCATTGGTCATATCAAATCAGTAAAATAACTTCAAACCTCCCAGCTGAAATTATAACCTATTCTCATTGAAATTGTATAAGATTTCATCTCTTATATATGACCTTTAATTATTTTATTATAATTTGAACTTAACCTACATACATTGGTTTCCTTTTTTAAAATATTTTTAATAAGTCTGGTTGAAATTAGTTTTATAGTTTAGTAGGAGAAGTTGAACAAATATACTTACATGTATATACAAATATTTATATATAAGATAATTTCTTGAACCATCACAACTAAATTCTAAACAATCTAAAAATTAATTCAAATAAAGTTTGGACCTATCTCTATTATCAGCTATCCTGCCTGCCTTTACAACCAGTTTTAATTAAGACAATCTAACCAATCACTTAGTAGTATAACTGTTACATGTATTTTTCTTTTATAACGAAAATGACAAAATGCAATGATGATATCACAGCATGATGATTAAATGAGATTTCTAAAGACAGTTTCAAACAACGTCCATCCATAAGCCATATACATGCACTTAAGCCTCTTACCATAAGGTAAAACTTAATTTATAATTACTTTTTTAATGAGGCAAGTCCATCAGGGGATGGACAACACCAATAGTAATGAAGTGAACATTGGATAAGAAACATGGATAGGGGTAGCTCCATCAAAAAAGTTTATCTCAACTCCAGATTGTGATTCAATTTGGCAGGTAAATGGTCATGATTAAGGAGCTAAAATCTGGATACCCTACTAACCACCAATAGGAAACTTCAGTTGGCACCCCAAAAATGTGCAAAGGGTGATATTTGAAATTGAACCTTCATATCAGTAATCGTACATCCTATCAACTATGTCATCTAACCCCTAAAAAAGAAATGTCACTTGCAGGATTTGAACCTGTGTGGGGAAACCCCATTAGCTTTCTAGGCTCATGCCTTAACCACTCAACCAAAAGTGTCATGTAATTTTTTATAAAAAAATTCATTTTTTTATAAAATAAATATAAGGGAAAGTAAGAGGGAGGGCGGAATACAAGCAATTCGTCCAAGGGTAAAAAGGATCAGGGGTTCAGGCTGCTAGAGTTCTAGCACCTCTGACCATTACTGATTAGTGATCGCCTTCACTAGCCATGGTTCAAGCATTGGTGGGCTTACAGGACATTTTATTCTCAGTCAATTAGTTGCCTCATCACATGCGATGAGCAATCTGGCAGGGAAAGCCAAACATGTAACTTTATAACACCCAGGATTATGCACAAAAATTTTGAGATCCGATGGAGCTGATCATAAATAATCTGAATGGTCTTCAATACCAAACCTCTGTGGTGGGGGCGCTCATTGCTCAAAACCCTGGTGATGAGCGCACAGTAAATTACCCATACATAATAATGGTAAATGAAGGCTTGTAGTTGGATTAGAGCCATTCTCAGGGTTTTCATAAAGAAAAGGTCCTGCGATGGATATATTCCCAGTGGCAATTGTTCACCTGATAAGATGTAGCGCATTGTGGACCAGTACCTTTTGAATACAGCACATTCATAGTAATGGTGTGCTATGTCTGCTTCTGGTTCAGTGCATATGGGGTATTCTTTGTGCTGGTAGTCCAGCCCGCTGTGCTTGCCCAATTTAGGATCCGCAAGGTTATCAGTGCTGTTTGGCCATTACCAAGTTGGAGTTCAGGCCCAAAATCAACTCCTTTTTTGGGTAGTTGGTGTCGTGGCCTTTGGTAGTCCAGTCATTTAGGATTTATGGACAGGCGGGCGGATTGCACCCCAGTTTCAGGAGTGGATCCCATATTCTATCAGCATCAATTTGTACCTTATTCTGATGGACTTGGTTGTATATTCATTGGCGATTCAGTTATGCTCCTCCCAGCTTGTTGCAGAAATCATTACAGAATTATGTGCCTTGATGTCCCTTTGAATTTGGTCAGCTTCTCAGTCTGATTGCTCAAATGACCATCCACCCTGGTGCATGGCCCAATTGCATAGTCACCAGTAGTGTGGAGTACTTTTCAGGAGGTTATCCACGGGTGGTATACCATCCATTCATGTATTGATCAGGGGGAAACTGTCTCTTGAAGGCCTTGGGCTCTTGCCCAGTTCATGCCCCATGCTATGGTTGGGCAGCGCGTGTGCGTCTGTGTTAGCTTCAGGAATGACTTCCCCCATATACACTGGGCATGAGATTTGAAGTCTAGGAGGCCCATGCCTCCTTTGTTCTTTAGTTTTGACAGGGCTTCCAGTGGTATTGGCGCCGCCTTCGCCTTGAACCACAGGAAGGTTCAGAGCATTGACCTAATTTAATCTTCTAAGTTTGGGCTTATTGGCAGCATGTGAGAAACATACCACAACTTCTAGAAGATGAAGACGTTTATTGCCTGCACTTTCTCCTCAAGGCATAGTCTGGCACTTTTCCAGCATGCCATTTGGATCAACAAGCTTGACAATACTTCCTGTTTGGTCTCCAGTACCGCTGGTCCCTTGTCATTAAAGAGTATCCTGAGGTATCAGACTGTCTGGGAGTTCATAATCAGCATTGTGTCAGTTGGTGGACTGAAGCTCGGGTTGCTGACCCTCATCACTGAGATTTTTGCCAAGTTAATTCTTGCGTTTGATGCTAGCTGATAGAGGTTTAATAGTTCCTTGGTGCCCTGGAGGTCAGATGGGGAGTTTATGCCTACTACCATATCATCAGTGAATGCTAGCATCTTCAGTGGCTTTTGGTTAGGGTGGACTAAACCCTGGAGCTTCGCGTCCGCTGCCACCAGTAGAATGTTGGCTGCAAAGTTGAAGAGTATCAGTGATATAGGGTCGCCTTGGTGGAGACCTTGCCTGACAGAAATTTTGTTGGTTACATCATCTGCGACAATCACCTTCATTACCAGGCCTGAGTACAGCATCATTATCCATGCTCAAAACATGTTGGGGATACCAACTTCCTTTAGTGCCTTGTGAAGGAATGACCACGCTACTTGGTCATATGTCTTTCTCATGTCGAAGAATAAGGTACCCCTGTTTGATGCCCCTCATATCCTGGAGTACTCTCTGGACTGAGCCAATGCTGTCTCATATACTACGGCCTTTGACAAAGCCGTGCTGGGCACTATGGAGTGTGCGAGGTGCTGTTGCCATCAGTCAATTAGATAGTATGCTTTGAGCAGTTTATAATTGGCGTTTATTACTGCAATTGGGCGCCAGTTCCGAAGTTGGCATCTGAGGCCCTTTTTGTACAGAAGTACAATATGGGTCTCATGGCCTCCTAGAATTTGCTGGCCATTTTACAAACAGTGGTTAAAGAGGGCTTTGAGCTCCCGCACAATGTGGTCTTGGAATATGCTGTATATTTCTGCACACATATTGTCAGGGCCTGGTGCTTTCATTCTTGGCAACTCCTTTAGTGCCCTCTTAACTTCATCAATAGAGATTTTGGTGGATAGCTTGGCGATGTCTTCTGGCTTACAGCCCCCCAGTGCCAGCTTGGCCGGGTCAATAAGGGTTTTTGTCACCGATTCACTCATTTCTTGTTGTCAGAAGAGATCACCATAAAAAAGCTTGACCTCGCGCTTGATCGTTTTGGGGTCTGTTGATACTTCCCCTTCTGCTGTATCCACTTCCCGTACCCTAACCTTTGTTTGGATTTCCTTGAGGTGTTTCAGGCCCTCTTTGGTCATCGTCCCTACTAGGCTCTGATATCAGTAAGTTGCATTGGTCCATCTCTCTGAGTCTTGCTTCATCATTATGGCCTAATACTTTTTGTGTGTTGTTTGGTACTCGCTCCAACAGTCTTCACTGTCCCGTCAGGTGAGCCTCAGCCTTTCTAATTTAGACTTCAGCTGCTTTGCAGCAGCAGTTCACTTGTAGGAGGTCACTTTTTTAAACTTCATACTATCATGTTTTATTTTCACTTTGATCTGGGTCCATTGTTCTAGCAGGTTCAACTAAGGGTGGTTGTCCAGATATGCTACCAGTTGATCCAGTCCAGCGTCAACCTTTTGGCGCCAATCCTCATCCCTCAGCGTGGCTGGTGCCAGTTGCCACTTGTGGTTCCTCAGAGGTTCATCAAGGTCAATCTCCACCTGGACGACCATGTGGTCACTTTCATCATTTATGCTAACCTCGCTGTTGGATGTCATTGGCCTGAGATCCAATGACACTAGGATGTTATCTAACCATGATTCTGACAATGGAGATCCAGCAGCGTCATATGACCACTGCATTAGGTTGGCCAGGTCATCATCCTCTTTGTCAATCATTAGGCACATCCCTGATTTAACTAGGTAATTGAGCATCTCATCAGCCTTACTGTTGGGACGTTCTCTCATTGGGAATATATCTCAGCTTGCATTTGTCCAACAGTTCAGGTCACCTGCTATTACGGTCATTGCTTCAGATGGCACTTTCACTAAGAATTCCAAAAAGATACAGTTTTCGTGGTGCTTTGGTGGGGCATAGACTGCTACTGCTTGTATGCTCTTGCCAGTTTCTCTATTTGTAGCCATCGCTATCAAGATCCTACCAGCGTGAGTTTCTTCCACAAATTTTAGGTCTATTTTCTTGTCCATTGCGACTATCGCCACGTGGTCCATCCATAGGGCTTGGTAGCCTATCTGGTGGGACCATGAGTGATTTTTTGTGTCACAGTTCGAGCTCAGCACCATTTCCTTTTGGTTACCAGCTTGTGTTTCTGAAGTAAAAATTGGATCAATATTATTATTAGTTTTTAAATGGTGCATTTTCCTCCTCATCATTTGTATGCTCACCATCCCCCAAGCATTTGTGGTCGCTATCCTCATTTCCGGCTGCCTGACCCATGGGTATGAGGTTTAGCATTGTCTGGGTTGTGGATCGAGTCCCATACTGAGGTCTGGTTGGTTGATGATGGTGGTGTTGATGGTTGGCGGGGTGCAATATTTGGTTTTTGGGGTCAGTTGGTTGGGACTGAAATTATATTCCTGGGCATCCTGTGTACTGGGAATTCAGTCACCATCCCCATCTCCCTGTCAATGGATAATGGGGATGGTTTTATGATCAGGTCCAGGTGCCCCTTGTTCCCTGCTGGTGAAGCGGCAGATTCTCCCTCATTCATTGGTCAGATTTGCACCCCTACATTCAATTTAATGACAGAACTTAATTTTTTGGTTGGTGATTGCCTGGCCAATTTTGTCAATTTCGTCGCTCCTGCTGCTTTTTCACTGGTCACCTCAGGTTTATTTGCTGATGACTTCCAATTCTAATTTGTATTTACTTTCAATCTGTTGGGCTTCGATTTTGACTTCCTTCATCCTCCCTTGCTTGGGAGACTTTTTTGGGTTCACCTTCTGCCATCTTTCCTCCTTGTGGACCATCCAATATGCTTGGGTTGGACGTTTCTCTGTTAATCCAGGGTCAGTTCCCTCATCCATTGCGTAGGATTTGGGGTTCAGATTTATAAATAGTTCATCATCCACTTTGGGTTGCTTTGCCATTTCCCATTCCCATGCTTCTCTATGTGCCAGGCCCAATTCTTGTCGCTGGCATTTCATATCCGCTACCTCCATTAAGTTGTGCAGGATCCATTCTCTGGCTTTTGGGAGGAGGAAAGTCTTGGTACCCACCTTGGTAATTCCCCTGACGGGGTTGTATTTATATTACCGTGTAGTTTTACCTTTATGATGGTGGCATTGAGCCATTGTGTGGACGGGCTGTTAACAGAACCGGCACACTTGTTTGGCATGCTCCTGTTCAACATATACTACCCTATCAAGGCTGGGCAGGTGGATGAATCTGGGTAGAGCAATTTTGTTTGGTGCATCCAGGGTGCAGGTTTGTACAGTGCTTCCACTGTCCAAGGGTGGAGGCACTTTGCAATGTAATCACCACTGGCTTGCCAGAATTCTTGTACTTCCCCATAGTATGACAATCTGGTCCAGATTGCTTCATGCACCCACTCCTGTTCGCGATCAGTGGGGAGATTCTGGA